AAAAAAAACCTTAACATTATATTTTAGGTTATTTAATTACAATTACTTTCAAACCCCTGAAATGAAGGGATTGTGTTAAAAAATGCTTTAACTCCTCACATATATATATTTTTTGCAATCATTTTGTTCAACCCATTGAATTAAAGCTGAAAGTCTCAGTTGTTTCATTTAAAATTCATTGTGGTAATATACAGAGCCAAAATTAGAAAAAAAGTTATCTCTATCCAAGTATTTATGGACCTAACTGTAGTACAGCTGTTGTCAAAAGGTGGTGAATGAGATTTCTTATTGAGGCCATTAGTTAGTTGGAGTACTTGGAGACAATAGTATCTAATACTGAAGTTACAAAACATCCTATGGTGATTACATATAAACGTTGAATGTGATCATATCATGCTTAGAAATCATAATTTTCTTTATCTCAGGCCACTCATGTGTCTGCTGGGCCTACAGATGACAGAAGAGGAGATTCAGAGCATGTAATGGTAAAGTAGGGGTGTCAAACATTACATGGGATTATTATTGGGATTAAATCATGGATCCGGCATATGTAGTTCATTGATATGTTTAGAAGTTTTTATACTTCTAAAATGAAAAAGGTTCCTCATTCTGTTTTCTTGCAACAATCCATGACAGCATATTGCGAGAGATAACACAGTCTACAATGATGGGGACACAGATTCTTACTCATCTGATTCTGACGAAGATGAAGATCCTACGGTATGTGAAGCTGCCTCGAGTGAAAAGTATTTTAAGGATATTAAAATTATGCCATTGAGATGGTCATCATCCATCTTTTTTTGACTCGTAGGCCAGTCATCTGTCAGCTGGGAAAGCAGAAACCAAAGAGGTAGATCCAGACCATGAAATGGTAACGTATATGCAAACAGGAAGTTTTAACATGGGAGTCTGAGCCTCCAGTCTTTTTTCATAGACTGGAGGCTGCCACTTAAATAACATCCATAGATCATCACGTTTAAATGTCCTGTTGCCTAGTAGAAAGAGGCAAAATGTGTTGCTCACAATAGCTAATTTATTTCAATTCATTTCAATTTTTTTACATAGTGCCAAATCACAGCCACAGTCACCTACAGGTGCTTTATATTATAGTAAGATAGTCTCTACAATAAAATTCCCCACTCATAATTGTGCAGGGGCTAAAAGAAAGTTCCAGGCACCTATATCCTCTAGATTTCTGCCAGCCTTCACCTCGTCTGTTTAAGAAACATCATCTGCCTCAATACACATTTTGTATCTCGTTCTCTTATATGTTATAGCACCAAGAACCGACGAGCTGTGCTTCATCTGATGATGAAACTACAGAAGAAGATCCAACAGTTAGTATTTTTCATTTGTTTTGTTTTTTTAAATTTTGGTTTGTTTCTACTATGTTTAGATTTTAAAGCATATTTCTGGCCTGTCATGTGTTACTAGGAGCAGTATTTCTGTGAAGAGAAGAAGATATATGCTGGTTCCTCAGTCACAATGGGAGCCCTCCTCCTGCTCCTCCTGGCGTTCATTGTGAAGCACGGCTTGTCAAAAGC